TGCTCATTGGCTATCATTCCACATCTTCTTTTTTATATAACATGTACATCTTACAATAATTCCACACCAAATATATTTTTCTGTATGTTTATCATGTTTATAGTAATCGAGATGCAGACTTGACCCCGAATATAATTATATGCCTGTTTCATGAAATGAGGTCAAGATTAGGCGAATCTGCAACCATATCTGACAGACATGACAGACATGGCAGACATGGTTTTCTCTTTTGAATTTTTTCATATTTTTCTGGTCGGGGCCTTTTGTAGCCGACTAAAGGCATGGGTTTTTCTCGTTGTTCTACAATTGCTTATATCAAGTTATTGAAAAGTCTGGAGGGTAGTTGTCTGATTGGCAATCATACCGCATCTCTTTATTTTTAAGATGAAAACAAGTAAATATCTTATGATGTGTGTCAATCAGTTACTGTCTCATTTGTTTTTATACGCTACATCTCTTTTTAGTCACATTGACAGCTGCAGGCATGACATGAACCCAGATCTAGAGTGGCAATACAGCAATTGTAAGGGGGTTAAAAGTAAAAAAAAATTGAAGAGTCTAAAGTTGAATAAGTTACAGAAACCAGATACTGAAAAATTAAATAAATAAATATCAACTGTTTTAATCATCTTGTATTTCTAATAAAGCCATATCAAGATCTTCGAAGTATTCATAGGCCGACAAATTGTAGTCTTCAGTATCGCTATCTGAAACAGCAGAATCTTCTTGCTCCTCGAGCTCCTCAACAACTTGTTCTGACAGAAATAACTTCTCAAGAGGTAACATATCACAGGATTCACAATTACAAGACTTAGTACACAAGTCACAGCATGAATGTTTCCTGCTTTCTTTCTTCATCAAATCATCCAAGTCTGAATTTCTGAGGAAATTACACATCAGATCCTTTCTCCTACAATCTTTAGCTTTAAGAATTGCCTTAGCTTCCGGTTTCAACTTCTGCAAGTGGTATCCATTGTATAGGATAATGGCAACTGATGGATTTCCATCCCTCCCCACTCGCCCTATTTCTTGCAGCAAATCTACCAGATTATTTGGAGGTCCAAATAATACCACTCCACTACACTTTTTTACATCTAAACCCATTCCCAGGGCACTGGTTGACAAAATAAGTCTCAAAACACTACTTTCCTCCTTCAATGCATTAATTATGATGTTTTTGTTAACATCTGGAGTTTCAGAATGGAACATCTCAATATACTTGGCACAATGTGGCAATTCTGTTACAATGTATTTATAAAGTTTGGAAGTGTCATTTATCGATGAACAATACAAAAGTGTACGTGGGAAGTCCTGACTTTTTTCCTCTAATGCATCTACTAACCATGTCATTCCCATTTCAATTTAATTTTTAATTTTGGAAGATACTAGTTTAATATTAGACTTGTTTGGTGATAAATTAATTTCTGTTGTGTCCTCCGCTAGCTGCAATATTTTCATGACTTTTTTCCTAAAGCTTACAGTGCAAGTTGCACTTAAAGCCAATACTGTAGCATCGGAAAAGAGGGATCTTAGTTCACCTACATTTGAAAACCATTTTCGAAAAGCCTTTTTTTCTGTCTCCTTCATCTTGGCCCCTGAAAGAAAAATAGAAATAAGTACTTCTATAAAAACTTTTGTAAAAGGTAAATATCAGCACCTCTTGCCTAGATTGTTAATTCTTATGGCAAAACAAAATTAAATACATGTATGTGCTTGTCCATATTGTTATGTAACAGCCTATCATTCAGTGGTTGTTGTTGGTTGCTGTCTATCACATTTGTTTAGGGTTTTATTTTTCATACATTCTTATAATTACATTGTAATGGTTCATCATTTTGCAAGTAGTGGTCTTAAAAGAGCTTACTTTTTAGTATTAGGTTATCTCGTTCTTGAAAGCTGTACAGTTCTGTACCAGTGGTCTTAATTTTTTACTTCTATATTTTGAAAATCTAAATTCATAAAAATGGGAAGGGAGTACACATCAATATATAGAAACAATTCATCAAAGTTTCATGCAAATTAGTTGAATAGTTTTTGAGTTACTGTCTGACAGGTTGACGATTGACAGACAGTCACAGGTTAGGGGAGGGTTGGGATCCCGCTCACATGTTTAACCCTGCCACATTCTGTATAGTGCCTGTCCCAAGTCAGGAGCCTGTAATTCAGTAGTTGTCATTTGTTTATGTGTTACATACATTTGTATTTGTTTTTCGTTCATTTTTTATGCATAAATTAGGCCGTTTGTTTTCTCGTTTGAATTGTTTTACATTGTCATTTCGGGGCCTTTGATAGCTGACTATGCGGTATGGGCTTTGCTCATTGTTGAAGGCCATATGGTGACCTATAGTTGTTTATTTCTGTGTCATTTGGTCACTTGTGGAGAGTTGTCTCATTGGCAATCCTACCACTATTCTTTTTTATATAGACAACGGTATACCATAATACGTCATGTAAATGTGCGAATAGAAATGAACATGGGGAATAAACATTGTATCCACTTACCAAATTGCTATTGTGTGAAACTCATCAATTACAACCAACTTAATGTTCAACTTCTTTAAACAAGTTCTCCAATAGGGATCACCAACCAATGTTTCTGGAGATGCAAAAATGACATCTAGCAACCCCTCTTTGAATTGATCTTCACTCTGGGGAAGATGATCCTAAAATGCAAAAAAAAATGTAGGTGGGCAGTCTCCAAAAAGACATATTTCTATGATAACTTCTATAATTTAAATGTACACTGTACAAATACCCTTTCTCCATTTCACTGCGTTCGATTAAAGATTGAAATCCAATGAAATAATTCTTATTGTTGTAAAGTCCAATACAGAAATGAATATAGCTGAGATTTCAATGAATGCATGGCATATTTTCTCGATTTTGAGATGTTTCTGCCAATGTATCTGTTTGGCCATCCAACAAGGTCTTTTAGACTGCACTTTTTCATATTTTTTTTTTTATTTTTTCATTGTTTAACACCTGAGCACAAACATTACTAATAACAATCTAATTTAAAAATTAAGTTTCCCGCACGTTTCTGAGCCATGTAAAGCTAATTATGCTGTATCATTTTGCTCATTGTTGAAGGTCAGATGGTGACCTATAGTTGTAAACTTTGTCATGTGTTGTCTGGTGGAGAGTTGAGTTGGCAATTTTACTTCAAGTCTTGTACATGTACGACATCTTCTTATTCTTATATGCATGTATATTTGTTTTGAGATAGATTATTAGTACATGAAATTTAACAACACTTCCCTTGGACTCTGGTGCTTCATTAATACAACATGTAGTATATGTCTTTATACAAAGTATGAAGAACTAGCATTATGGCCAAAACGACTGTAAAATACTGGCAATATGACCGATACAATCTGTTCTCGGTGAAATGAGACAAATTTATGTGCTACCATGGCTATGATGAACTGCTTCTGCAGTTTTTTTTAACTTTGCTCATGTATATCTAAGTTTCATATTACTGCTTTGTTACTGTTAGTCATGTGTATGTGTTGATATACTAATGTTTAAATGTTTGTTCCTGCAAATAAATTTTATTTTATTTGATAAGGCATACATGTACATCTTTGCCTGGTCAGATGCGGATCCAGGACTATGGAAAAGGGGGCCCTGCATCTAGACACCATAAGGTGTGGGAACAACGTCTTGAGACATTTTTGTAAGATAGAGGCATTGCATTAATTATATAAGTAGCTCCAACAGCATAGGCGGATCCAGGGGGGCCTGGACTCCCCTTTTGTGGGAAAAATTTAGTTGATTATATAGGGAATCACTGAAGCATGACTGGAGCAGGCCCCCTCTTAGGTCAGTCAGTGGGCCCCCCTTACAAAAAGTTCTGGATCCGCCACTGTACAGGGGGATAACATGTCACCCCCTAACTGATTTCTCATGTGTTATAAACATCTTTATTATACAACACTGCCAACATAATAATTATAATATAAATTAGGTGTTTAATGGCATTAAATACTATAGTATAGACTATTCCATTTATTGAAGCCTTACTACCACTGCATGCTAAAGTTATACTAACCTTTGTATGCAGCAGTAATATTTCCAATGTGCGAGAGTTTTTCCACCTGGTCCTGCATCAGAGCTACTAAGGGACAACAGACTCAAACTTTTCAGTCAGAACTGTTTTCAATAACCGCCCGGACAACTGGAAGGTACAGTTGAAACGGCAGTGACTTGTCAAAACCAGTCGGGAGTACAGCCACGCACTTCTTCTTGTTAACTAAACACTCTAAAATTTCCTTTTGCTCCTTCTTTATATCATTTATACCAAATTTTGGCAAAACTTTTGTCAAAACGTTGTCCAAACTGGGCGCATCCATGTTTTTTAACGATCCGATAATGGTATACAAGCCCGTCGCTGATTGGTTAATCGAAATTGAATTTCTGCACGCTGATTGGTCGGTCAAAGTTCACCAAATTTGACCCTAGACATGACCCTCAAGCGGCTGTTGTTAGATCTCCCACGCGCGACATATAAACAACGAGGAGCAAGTGCGGAGATTTAATTTTAATTAGATTGCTATATAAGAAATATACGATATGAAAGATAAGTGCGACAGAAAAGAAATTAGTGTTTCAGGAGGATGAGTTTTTATTTTTCATGGGAAAAATAATAAAATGACTGTTACAATTTGTTGAAGCTAGTAAAATCTGTATGATTGGACACTTATAAAACAATATTTAGAAGAGTTACATTAATAAGTAATATTCAAAGTAGCCTCTTTTCAACATCACTTGTAAAGATAATTTAAGACGTTACTTGTTTAATAAATGCAACTGAATGGTACATATTAGAACGTGGTGGCATTTAACAATAAGCAAACAATTACATGTTCAATATGTGTGTAAGAAGACATGAAATGATCACATAAGGCGTAAGCATTTTCGAGTCATTCTAAAAAAATACCCAGCATAACCGGGAAATGTTCTATATTTTGTTGAAAACGAGTTGATCTAAAGACACTTACCTTGTACAACACCTTCATGGAATATACATATAACTGTAAGATTAAAATATATGTCATGTAAGTGTAAACCATCAGATATACAATATTTGGAGACGTGTTTGTGTTTGCTGAAGGTTTTGAAATTTCACATTACATTTTACATTAAGTTTATACGGATAGTTGTTGTATAACTTCAAACTCTAAGATTATCTTTACCATGCTAATTATCTATACGAATACGTCATTTACAAACGGATCATTTCTTAAGGGTTAAATATTGCTACATTTTATTTCCCGATCGTAAAATCATAAAAAATTCAGTTAACCATATCTTGAAATTCAGCATTTTTCAAAAATGTGTGATAGTAATTGTTCATTATTTACTATGTACAATGTACATAGTTTATTCTGTAGCAGTGTTCCGTCTTATTCTCCAATGACATTCCAGTCTCAGTTCGTGCAACAGATTCGCATCAATTTTTATATTTGATGTTATTATAATTTTTTCTACATTTGTACATTTAATAACAACTTTCAATGTTATGTTTGATATGTGAATTATTCACGACTGTCCGTAGTCAGTCTCTTATTAGGGAATACTGAAAAAGCAATACAAAGTGAATATATCCTTTGCCGACAATGCAATCAGCCTGCTTTCGGGCAATTGCCTGTTTAAATCAAATGCGTAATACATACAGTAAAATGTATTATATGTTACATATAGCTACCTGTTAAAACCAAAATTGCCTTAAGTATACCACGATGTCCATTCATTTTCTGAAGGAAATAAAAATAGAAAAACATAACCTAACTGTAATTACTGAAACTAAACCACACATTGAATGCGATGCACTAGACGTTGTAAAATATGACCTATGCGCAAAGGTTTGATGTATAAACGTACATCCAGAAGGGTTAATATATATGGCATTTTTTAACGACCTTGACTGGCTATACAGTCCTTGCAAGGTCGGTAGGGGGGTTTACTGTGCGGCTGTACGTTTAATAACATACTTTTCTTAAATTCCCTGTTGTACTATATAACGAAAAAGTGACATTAGATGAATGAGATCTTTTTTTAAAGGTGCACTTTGGTCATATTACTACTAGATTTATTTTCTTTTATTTGGGGGGGGGGGGGGGGGGGGCGGTTGGATGGGGCATTGTATACATTTCCGAAAATAAATGTTTGAGCCCTCCGGATGGAAATCAATCCACAAACCCTTTAAGTCGCAATATAAAATATGAAATTTGTAATTAGTATACTGCACAAATAAGACGTTTTTCTTAGTATAAGAGTGCATGATTATCTGTACAACAATATATGGTCATGAACATATGCGTATACTCATATGGTTATTAACGGACAAGACCATATGAGTATTTAGACCGTATATATAAAAAAAGAAGCTGTGGCATGATTGCCAATGATACAAAAATAAAAATAAAAAAAAACACACACACATGATTAACAAATTAAAGGCTGGAGGTTCCTGACTTTTGACTGGCGTAACAATGCGCCGGGTTGGATAATCTTTAAGAGATCTCAACCCTCTCGCTATACCTCTAGCAAATGTGAGGGGAAAAAAACACAGCAATACGCACGGTAAAAATTAATCGAAAAAAGTTCGAGTCCTATGTTAGATTAGAAGCATTTCGACAATCAATTTCTTTTCAGTGATGCTCGAGGCCAACATATGTGACAATCCAAATATCATACACACGTAGAAATACCGATAAAACAAAAGAGGACCAAATGTAAAGCAAAAAACCGAACCAGATAGCAAAGCAATGCACGAGAACAAGTATGATATCTAAAATGATCATATTCGAATTTTGACTTTATCTACGTTTTTTTTTTACATTTAAAACAATGATGACATCTATGTGATAGTGCTCTGCTGTAATATATCTCAATGACTTGCTGGACTCAAAAATAAAGTTTCAATTTTGTTAAATTTAGAAATCCAATTATTGTTATTTTTATTGGTTGTTTTGAAAAGAGATAACAAAAATGATAATATGTGCTTTATGATGTTTCAAAGGACTTCAAAGCCGTAGATCATCTCTTTATGTTTTGGGAGTTTGGGGGTTTATTTTAGCTCTGCCATTGTGTTGTCCAATTTCTTCACAACCTTTAGTCTAAACTAGTTTACAGATTGACATGTAGTCCTTTGGTTGCTGTCTCATTGACGTATATTCCAAGTCTCCCTTTCTGTATGTTCCCAAATAAAATTACGTTTCTATGAGTGGTAGAATGAGATAGCATTCGATGACAATTCAAAGCTATTTGATCATTAGAATTTTAACAGTTTCTTTCAATTTTTGGGCACACATTTGCGTCTAGCTTGGCACTTATAATTTTTATAAGTCAATCTCCACTATAGTTCTGACTTAATTATATATTAGCTAGTACTAAGGTATGTTTTTATTTACTTGATATTCAAATCGTCCTTAAGCAGGACATTTTAAATGACTTGGACAATTGTTTGTGACCGATATTAAACAATACAATATGATCATTTTTAACAACTGATATTATTGAGTGTATTACAGCTTACTATATGCAGGTTATTTGATGACATGTTTGTGAGATGGTATTGATATATTTATGAATTAGACTGAGAGATTATGTCGATTAGGGTTTACTTGTTCTGTTCATATTATTGATCATTTGTCATGTTTATGTTAAATTGCCTTTCTATAGTTTTTGTTTAATAACATTAATCTTTCCTTCTTATAATTCATAGAGAAAGTAGGTTCAGATGTTTAATTTTTATCTTAAATTTTGATTTATTTCGGACTACATCTTTTTCAATATAAAATACAAAAATAAGACATGTAAAAGAAGAAAAGTCTTCATGTTAAATCTCTATTTCTTTTTATTACATTTGTTGCGATAAATTATCGTGATTTCACAGTATAATTAAACCGATAATTTCACATGTGACGTCATAAAACAAAACACATTGTAGATTCGTAGAAGAAGGATATAGTTTGTTCCTTGTATGTTCTATTTTATTCCCATTTTTAAGCCCTCGTCAGTGTAATAAAAAGAACAAACATGTAAAATATCGAAAAAAAATTGTAGTCGTGACTTAACAATCCTGATAAATAACTCATGCGCTACGCGCATTCGTGAAATAATGTGTTGTTCTGTCACTCTCTGAATAATTTTCTCTATTAAAATTCTTTAATTAGTTTTTCTATGATTAAAATGTCATTTGACAAGAACAAATGCAAAAAAAAAAAAAAAAAAAAAAAAAAAAAATACGACTTTTCTTAGTTTCCGAATTACACAGTATTCCTAAAGAATATCAAAGCTGTAGTACCAAAAACATAATTATTTTGGAGAAGAAAGGAAATATTCTTAACATGTGACATGGACAAAAGCTTATTTGCAGAACGAAGCTTCAATAAGCACCAACAAATATCTCCGTCTGCCTTTATTTCTATCAGTGAAATAATACAAAAAAAAAAAAAGCATGTGGAATAAAGTATTATTAAATATCGTAGAAAATGTGTTTTAAGCAAGAATCGTTATAAAAATGAATTAAAACGATATAAGAGAAATGTCTTCCTAAATACCTTTTAAAGAATAATAGCATTTGCTGAAGCCAAACTCAATATTATTAATCTACAGAAATCCTGACTTCGTCACTCTTATTTCGAAAACTATTGTTCGGTTGATGTAGTGCAGAAATGAAAAATAATCCAGGAAATGCTCTCGAATTTAATACCAAAAGTCAATTGTACAGAATGTCAGACACAATAAAACCGTTTAATAGTGTTTCAGGCTGGGAACTAGTCATGTAAGTTATTGTTATAACTTAAGGGCATACGACATATGAGCAAGGATAGAAAACAAGGCATCAATTTGAACACATTGGTTTCGCAACATTGCTAACGATAAGCATACAAAACTCCGGAAAAAAATCACTGACATCATCAACTCTATTACTAGTACGTGATTTCAAATTATTTGTAACGGAGAACGAATATGTAGAACATGTATAGTTAAGCACGCGATATTTACTACTGGTCATAAAATTCGAGGCACGTTTACTTTTCTATCATTAATACAATCGTGAATTGCAGCAATTTCCGTTTCATGTACGGCGGGAAAAGCTGCACGACGATGTCTCATTAAAAAAACGCAGCGTCGAAATTTAGCGCCAAAAATGAAGATAGGATATCTGGCATTTAACAAACCGGGTTTTCCATTTCTAACTACAAATAAGCATATGAACCCCCATTTTGTTTCCTTTGCAATTGACTATGCACTACTTAAAGAATCTTTTACAAGTTAAACTTAACAATTGGCTGTTTTATGTTTACTTTTGTATAAAAAGAACACATTTAATACGACTTTTTGTATGATTTCATGATCACTTTGTAAAAAATGTGTTTAAATATATCTTTCCGTTATAAAACTGTGTTATTTTTTCTTTTCTGAAAAGTATTTTACAATAAAATGTTGACCTTTTTAGGTGAAACGTGCATATTTCAAACTGAATTATCTCCAAAAGAAAGTTTTGCTGGTATATTGTTCTATGTATATTTCAATCGTGCATAAAACAATTAACTTCAAAATCGAAGGAAAAAATCAACCAGGGATCTTTACTGTACCGTATTTCCTTAAAAGTACACGACATAATTGTTCGACATGAAATCAATTGGTAGAGTTTTCAATGAAGGAAAATCAAGTGCAGAATGCCGAACCATAATTATTGTAGAAAATCAACGGTCGTAATATAAAGTATAATGAATAATTAAATGGATCAACAAGCAGTCATGTAACTTGCATTTAAACCTAATATGTTTTTTGCTAAACCTATTGCAGAATTCTTCATAGGCCTCTCACTTGCCCTAGTCTTTCCGGCCTTGTCATGCAAAAATGAAGAATGGAAGTAAGAGCATGCGATGAATTTAACGAGTGTTACAACATAAATTCTAAATTAAAAAAATCTAAAAATTACATTTTTAAAGTTCAGTTACATTTTTTGCAATTGCATTTTGAGAAATCGTGTGTTAGAGTTTTACAGGTCTGTGAATGTACAAGAACCAAAACAAAGATTTGTGCCGAAATTGTCTGATTGCGATGCCTGCCTGAAGACACAATCATAACCTAAGTTCTGATTTAAAAACTCAATTATTATTTTACAAATAATGTGCACGGTGTTCATAGCGATCCTAAAAAAATAAGAAATGAACAGAACATAATTATGATAGTAATGACAACTACGGTTAAGGTCTTACTTACCGGCTGTAGCAAATTGTGCAAGCGCGTGCTATACAACGTGTTTCTCAATCTTAAATTGTAAAGCCAAAATATTATATCAGATACAAATACCTGTATATTTAGAATTTCAACCGACAACTAATTTTTTAAAAATTAAA